GTTTGTACTCATTCTCTCCCAGTTTCTGGGGAATGCCAGTGACTAGATGGGGGCTAGAATGGACCTTAAAATCTAGGTCAGTGACCTTCTCTGACCAGGGATCTTGTGGTCCTGAGAGAGAATCCTGGTGGCTTTTGCTCTTTCTTCATCCTTTCACTGCTTGGCCCAGGATACCAACCCTTTGTAGGAGAGGCACAGTGCAGCAGTTTATAGAACCCCACCTATGTGGCCAGGGGATCGAAGACCCCCACAGATCAGCAAGTGCTGTAGAGATGGCAGAGAAGAGGGAGATTAAGAAAGAAATCCCATGCAATGGTATTCAGGGTCCTGAGTTTCCCCCAGTTGTGTATGTCTAAATATGACCCTAAATAGCCTACCAAAGGCTTTGCAGGATTAGAGCCCTGCGGGGTTTCTAGAGTGGTCTCTGGGTAGCACACACATAGGACAGATCTGAGTAGCACTGCAAAGGCTTGTAAAGGGAACCGAATGGAACCACCCATCTGAAGCTTGTAGGGACTTGCAATACCATGTTGGATCAATTTCCTGCTAGCCTAAAACCTTAATATTCTGCATATATGTAAATAATGTGTAGTGCCTTGCAACATAGTATTCAAAATATGCAAGATATAAACCACAATTACTCAGCACACAGTGAACCAGAAAACTCTCTGTATCTCACACTGGAAAAGTCAACACACAGATGCCAATTCTGAGAGGACACATGGGTTGGAAGAATAAATAGTTTAAGATAGCCATCATGACCCATGACCATGAAAGAAATGGAAAGACAGGAAGCTAGATAAAGACAGGAAGTAGATAAATGCAAGAGATAAAGGGAGAAATAGAGAAAGATCATAGAAACAGGTAGACCGAGGCAAAAATAAGAAACAGATGTGTAGAAATGGAAATGTAGAACAGATAAAAAGTGACAGTAAGAAACTGAAGAGATAGAGAATAAGACCTGGAAGGAAGATAGGAAAATATAAAATAATGGGCAGTAATAGGAAATATAAAAAAGAAAAAGTATGTGAACCTAGAGATGGAAGATGGATATAAAGGGTAAGAGAGATCAATGGGAAGACAGAGAAGCAGAAGGGTAAAGAGAGAAATAGGACCAGCATGTGTGGTCAAGCTGGAGAGCAATTCATGACTCCATACTTTGGGGTTGTGTCATGGTAGTTTTCTAATTTTAGTATCTTTTTCTACACTTACTGGTTGTAATACTTCCATAAAGAAGTATGTTGAAGCTGGGCATGGTGGCACATGCCTGTAATCCCAGTAGCTCCGGAGGCTGAGTCAGGAGGATTGAGAGTTCAAAGCCAGCCTCAGCAACAATGAGGTACTAAGCAATTCAGTGAGACCCTGTCTCTAATTAAAATACAAAATAGGGATAGGGATGTGACTCAGTGGTCAAGTGCCCCTGAGTTCAGTCCCCAAGAAGTACAGTTATTACTTTTTCTTTGCATTTCTGTGTTCAGAATAATGTTGCCTCTGGAGATGCCTATCATTTTTCAATTCTGATAGTTTTATTGGTGAATTCTTGTGTTTTTAAATATTTGTATCCTTAAAATTTTTGTGTAGGCATCTTTAGTCCTTATCGTGTTTCGTTTATGTCCAATCAGGCACACTACAGTTGGCTTCATTGTCCTTGCTCTTGACCTCAGTAGTCTTTAATTGCATCTCTGCTTTCAGATAAACAAGACATCCTGGCTTTATTTTGTATAATCAAGTCCCAGTCTTGGCCTCACCATTTCTCAACTCAGCCCTAATGCTTTGAGTGAGAATTAATTTCTAGATACATCAATAAAAATGCTAGAAGTACTCATTGCTTCTGGGATTGCTATTACTTTCAATATATTTTATAGTGGATCATTAAAAAGAAGTTATTTCTTAGAGAAAATTGATTTAAATTATAGATAGTAAGGTTTTTACTTAAATTTTTTATGTTTCACATTTGTACTTTTCTCTTGCAATGAAATGTTGATTTCTAACAGTGCCAACCAAAGCACATAAAAATACAAATAAAAATATAAATATAAACAATACTGTGATTACTAACAATGCTCAGTCTAGAAGACGTTGCTTAAAATTCTTGCTTACTTGCATTCCTTCTTTTGTTTAGGATATTCAAGTAAAATTCAATTTTAAATAATTCTACTGTATATGTTTATTCCATCTTTACTGTAAAGGTAATTCCATTTCTTTCAGTTTATATTTTTGAATTCTTAAAATTCATTTTATTTTTCTTCTTAATGTATTTGTTTTATATAGGTAAGACAATTACATGAATCTAAAGTCAAACTTATAAGACAAGATCCATTTTGAGTTTTTACGTCTCTCCTAGATTCCTGTTCCCTTTCCTCACATTATAGTAAGAATATTCTTATTAGTTTTATTGAATATTTTAACTTTTTCTAATATAGTCAAACAATACCTGTCTCCTTACAAGAAGCAAATCTTTTATTTACCATATGTGTAGGGTATATTACTTCTATTTGAATTTGGTATTTATATTTTGGTTCTGGAATATTCAGTTTTTATACATTTTAATCATTATTTTATTTGATAGCATTTGGGTTTCATGCTTCACTTGAAAAGCAGCCCCCAGAGTAAGGTTATGAAGAAGGATACCCATACTATTCTTCTAATGTTTTTATTCAGTCATTATTTAGTATTTGTATCATTGATCCTGCTGCAATTTTTAAATAACAATTACGCGGAAGTAGTAGGAGCAGTACTAGTAATGGTGTTAGTAGTGTTAATATTAGTAAATGCTAATTATGGACCCTCTTTCTCTGATAGTCACTGTGCTAAGTACTCTGCATATATGATTTCATTTAATCTTTACCAAAAGCCTGTTGAGGGTTCAAGTATTGTTGGACTTAACAGCTGAGAAATTGAGGGGTTTATTGGCTTTTCTAGTTATAAAATTTGAAGTGGTAGGGAATTGGAATCAGTGTTTGAAATCCAGCACAGTGGTTCAAAAAAAGAGTGATTGGTAAATTCTGTTTGCATTTCATCTACAATGGGAGCTAGCGTTACTTCACAAGTTTAATGGCCATTTACATTTATTCTTTAATGAATTGCCATTTTATACCCCTTGCCCATATTTTTCTTCTGGAGTATTATTTTTACTGTTTGTAAGAGGTTTCGTAAACATTTTAGATATATTAAGATTTTTTCCTAACAAATGTGTTGAAAAAACTTGATAATGTATTTTTGTTAACTTTGGGTGACTAGAAATTTAAATGATACTTGTAAAAAAAATCTACAATTTTTTCCTTACAGTTTTTGCTTTTGGTGTAAGGTTTAGGGAAGCCTTGTCTCACTTGTGATTTATATGTAAATTTACCAATATTAAATTTTAATGCATTATGTGCTTTCAGTTTTATTACACCTAAATCTCTATTTGTAAGGTAGCAATTCAATAGTACTTGTTTCCATATAGTGAGCCAATTTACAAAAAGAATTTATTCTTCCCTGCTGAACTGAATGTACAACTTTATCATAGGTTAAAATGTTACATATGTGGACCTCTTTCTACATTTTAACTTATATAGTTCTCTTATAACTTTTTTCTCCTCCTCCTCCTTCTCCTTCTCTCCTTCCCCTCCTTCTCCTCCTTCTTGTTTATTTATAGTACTGAGGATTGAACTCAAGGTGCTGTACCTCTGAGCTATATCCCCAGTTCTTGGCTATTTTTTATTTATTTTGAGGCAAGGACTTACCAAGTTGCTCAAGCCAGCCTTGAACTTGCTCTTCTTCTGCCTCCACCTCCTGAGTAACTGGTATTACACCATACCAGACTGAGTTAATTTCATTTATGACTTTTTTGTTTTAAGACTCTTCTTTCCACTCTGGTGTGTTGATAGTATTCTCCTTTCTCATCTACAAACCATGAGTCTTGTATCCCAGCAAGGACTTTCTAGGCTCTGAGGCTCTAGAGCTTACCAGGGCCTGCAAGGTTGTCCTTCATGTGACCTGGAGCCCTCTGCTTTCTGGGCTGCTCGTCTGCAGGCTCATTTCTCTGTACTTTGCGGTCCTGCAGGTCAAAGGGAGACCAACCAGAGGCCCCTATCTTTCTAGATTCTCAGATGTCACAGTCATGGAAAACAAATTACCTGAGAGAGGCTAGAACAATGACTGATAGTGACATTGTCCTACAATTTAAACACATATACAGATATATTGGTGGGTCAACATCTGTGTATGCACAACTTAAATTCTATCCTTATTTTCTTATGTTTTGATCATCTATCCATCAATCAATCCAAATGGATTGAAGATATCACTACACTTTCTGAGAGTAGATTTGCCAAATAAAATATAGGATACCCAGATATGTTTGAATTTCAGATAAAAATTATTTTTAGTTTAACTCCAAATATTTTGTGAAATATATATTTACACACACACACACACTGATTTAATTTAAACTGAATTACCCACCTGATCTCTGAGGAGACTTTTTATAATACTTGAGGATTACCAGCAAATTAAAATAAATAGATTATTGTATACAAAGACACAATCATCATCATTTTTTGAGGAGTGTCATTTGCAGCTGACATCGTTGATCCCAGTCTCTTTTAATAAGGTAGATTCAAGACTCATCAGATTTGCATTTGGTGGTTGCCCCCAAATATATTTTACAAATATTAAGTGGAAGTAGTCAGGGCCATGATGAAAAAGTTTCATCTCAGGACAAGATGAAGGCAGCAGCATTAATATTGAAACTGAATTTCAGGGACATGTTTCTTGTTTCCATAGGCGAACAGAGAAGTTTCATCCAGGGCTCTGCCTCCCACCACATTTGCACCCAATCTCCTTATCTCTAAGCAATCCAGGCTCCTAGCTTCTCCTCTGCAGAGGGCCTGCCTTTAGTGACCACAGAGTGGTGCTAGAGAAGTGGGCAGAAGCAGAGAGGCAGGGGCTCCTCCCAGAACCACCCCTTCTGGGTAAACAGCTGGGTGTCTTCTCAGGCAGCCCCTCCGTTACTTCTCCCGGCCTGTGACTCAGTCCCGAGGATCAGCTCCAGGTCACTGTTGGAAGGATCACTTCCATTTTGAGTAGGATTTGAGTTTTGAAAGGTTTTTCTTCTCGTCTTATCATCTGGTCCTTTTCCTTGAAAGCCCCAGGGAAGAAGGCATGCTGTGGGCTCTAGCCCTACTTCTAGCCATCCTGCCTCCTGGTAAGTATGTGGCACAGATGATCATGGGGCGTAGTTTTCCCCAAAAGAAGCCACAACAAAGAATTCCATTACCTCTTTGTCATTAATTTTTATTGTTACCATTTCAGGCAGTCAAACATCTTCCAGTTTGGAAGGGAGAATGATGTCACTCAAGAGAACAACTGGGTCCAATGCAGTAATTACTTGTGATTTTGCTGAAGAAAGAAATTTCATCCACTGGTACCAACTCAAGGAGGGGAAGGCCCCACAACACCTTCTCTACCATGATTTTTACAATTCCAAGATTGTGATGGACTCAGGACTCGATCCAGTGAAATACCATGTGTATGAAGGCACAGGCCAGAGATCTAAATTCATAGTGCGAAATCTGGAAGAGAGTGATTCTGCTGAGTATTACTGTGCTTACTGGAGTGCCTGTCACAGTGATTCAAATCTGCTCTGTACAGTACACGAAATGTTACTTGTGGCTGCACATGAGACACAAAAAAGACCAGCCTCCATCTCACTTCCTGCTGCCGGCCTCACTGTTTGCTGAACAAAGTGAAACTCTGAGACCAAAATCTAACCCCAAAATGTATGTGCTACTCCCCTCTCATTAGCTTTATCCTGATAGAAATCATATCCACAGGACATTCTACTATCACCAAAACTTGGCCAAGTAGTCTGGTTGACAGCATCATTTCTTTCAGCTCTTCCAGGGACTGATGACGTCCCATTCAATTTGCTGTCTAGGATAGACAAGGTCACCTAGGGTTGATAGATTATGGGAGACATTTAGGAGACCATCATAGTTTAGGTTTAGGGGACCATTATATTTGTATTTAATCATTTATCCAATCATGATCTCTGGATAATGGCTGGGAATGATGCTCATAACCTTACTTAAGTTTATAAGTAATAAGGTGATGATAAATTTGGGTTTCATGAATACTTCATGCTGATGGTCATATTTATTATCTTTTGAACAAACTGATATTTCCCTCCCCATAATCAACTATGGTATTATTGGTATGAATGATAATGTAGGAAAAAAGTGAAAACATTTTATCTACTTACCCAATGAAAAAACATAACTTAAAGAAATCAAAAAATGTGTCATTTGTTAATGATTCATAAACCAGATAGCATCCAGTCTGCAAAATAGGTGGGAGCTCCACTGAATTGTGACCACTGTTGGTGATTTCAGGAAAGCCTGAGGAATAACAAGGAGAGAGCAATAGTGCAAAGAGCAGATTGGCAACATCTTTCTTACTCACACATTCCTGGTATGGGTTAAAATGGAGGGACTTCCTTACCATGCTACCTAGGGTTGACTGGGCCCTGGGTGATTGGTGGCTATGATTTCCTGGTTGTTTATTTTGTTATGTTTGCAAACTGGCTTGTTTAGGTCTCTGGCTATTACCTCTCTCCTGATTTATTAGATGATCCTATTGAATGAGTAAAGAGTTTGGGTTTAGTTTGGTGGCATCTAAATATTAGCCTGAGTGACTCCATTTTGGGTTATTTGATTGGGCTCCTAAAACAAGAGCTCTGTATCAATCAATTCCCTTTCATAAGTCTTACTTGATACACTGTCTGTTGAAGTGCATCCCAAAGCCAGATCTGCTCTCTTTTTTTATTTTTATTTTTTAAAGAGAGAGAGAGAGAGAGAGAGAGAGAGATTTAATATTTATTTTTTAGTTTTCAGTGGACACAACATCTTTGTTTGTATATGGTGCTGAGGATCGAACCTGGGCCACACGCATGCCAGGCGAGCGCGCTACCGCTTGAGCCACATCCCCAGCCCAGATCTGCTCTCTTTTAAGTGAATGAAGCTAAAACTCCTTTCCACTATTATCCTCCTACATAAACACATTAATTCATTAACTGGAGTACAATTATTTACTTCTACAATTATTATTTTTGCTCAAGGATTGAAGCTGAAGAACTCTTTGAGAGAATAATCACATTATGAATGGCATATATTTAACTTAAAAATTTTATTCAGGGAAATGATGATAGCTACTCTGCTAGACCTCTTTTAAGGATCTACAACTAATTGAGATAAGAGGAGAAAGAACAATACTGTTGTTTGAGGGCCTCACTATGATTATCAGAAGATATTGATTTGTAGCAATTTTAAAATTCATGTTCTAAAATTTCATTTTTCTATTTATGAATTTATTTTAATTAGGCATATATGACTGCAGAATGCATTTTGAGTCATTGTACACAACTGCAGCATAACTTCTCATTTCTCTGGTTGTACACAATGTAGCATCACATCGTATGTGCTAGAGTGTAGCACTCCATACATGTACCTAGGGTGATGATGTCCATCTCATTTCACTATCTTTCTTGCCCCCATGCACCTTCACCACCCTCCCTCCCCTTTGCCCAATCAAAGTTCCTACATATTTCCCATGCCTTCCCCCTCCCCATTTGTTACTACTATAAAGAACTGCAGTCAATTCTGTGAGGGTACATATTTAGGATATATATATGTATGTGTGCGTGCATGTGGTGTGTGTGTGTGTGTGTGTGTGTGTGTGTGTGTAGGATCTCATGGATCCTAATTTTATTGATCCTTTTTTTTTGGGGGGGGGGTTCTTTGTTATAAATTTACTTCATTTGAAAATGAAGGCAGCTTCAGTTCTTCCTTACAATCCCTTTAAATAGTATCCAATCTGTGACTTTAACGCCCTGGTTGAGACTTCTGGTACAATATTTAGTAAAAATGAAGTTGACTAGCATCCTTCTCTTAGTCCTGATCTCAGCTGGAACTTCTATGTGTATATATCCCTTGCTACTTATTCAGATTTCAATTTATGGTTCTTAACAAAATCTGTAGTTATCCCTAACATGCACTTTTTGAGTACTGATTTCCTCTCAAATTGTATATGAAAAATTGTATATTGCCTGGGCTGTTCAGATTCCCCAGACTATGTTAATGTCAGTCATGATGATGCTCATCTCTTTTTTATTCCTAAATTTAATGAGAAAGCTTATAATATTTCATCATATTTACTGAAAGCTTTTGTAAGATGCCCTTTCTTAAATTTGCATATTTAGTTCTATTTTGGACTTGCTAGAATGTTTTCTAATCATGAATCAGTGTTGAATCGTGTCATACACCCTGCTTTTAGTTTGTCTTTTCCTTTTTAAAGTGTAGATTTTCTAGTGCTGGGCAACCCTTGCATTTGTAAGATGGCTCGAACCTGTTCATGCTATCATGAACAATGCTGCTAATTAAGTGTTGCATCTATGATTAAGTGAGATGGGCCATGCTTTTCCTTTTTCCTTATTGTCTTTGCCTGCTTTTAGAATTACAGCTAGCAGCAGAGGTTTCTTTATAGACTGTGCCAGGTTAAAGACATGCAATAAAACAAGTGCAAGAAGTCCACTCTGATCTGTGTGCTGGTTTTCAGGAACCAAAGATGAAATTCCTAAGTGAAGGATGCCCTGGAGAACAGGCAACATTCTTGCTATCGGGGATGGAAAGTTAAAGTTTAAAGCTTGTGGAATCTGTACAAACCTTGTTAAACTCACCTTGATCCTCCTTCTTATTTCTCCACCCAGTTAACCCTCCCAGACCCCTCCTGTCTCCTCATCACATGTCAAGACTCTAATCTTCATCCAATACAGCACAGAGGTGATGGGCTCTAACTGCCTCTCTGTCTTCATTTCCTTAGGAGGGCTTCTGCATCCTGTGAAACTTCTAGTAATTAATTCTCATGCTTTTCTCCTGCTAATCTGTCTTAGATTTAATTTTTGGATTCAGTCATGAAGCTAAGAAGGTGAAGGTGATTTTTTTTTAATTTATTTTTTTATTTTTTAATAAAAATGTAATAAAACATTACATAGCTTTTGACATATCATATTTCATACATTTGATTCAAGTGGGTTATGAACTCCCATTTTTACCCCATATACAGATTGCAGAATCACATTGGTTATACATCCACGTTTTTACATACTGCCGTACTAGTGTCTGTTGTATTCTGCTGCCTTTCCTATCCTCTACTATCCCCTCTCTCCTCCCCTCCCCTACCATCTTCTCTCTCTACCCCATCTACTGTAGTTCATTTCTCTCCCTTGTTTTTTTTCCTTTCCCCTCACTTCCTTTTATATGTAATTTTGTATAACAATGGGGGTCTCCTTCCATTTCCATACAATTTCCCTTCTCTCTCCCTTTCCCTCCCACCTCTCGTCCTTGTTTAATGTTAATCTTCTTCTCATGCTCTTCCTCCCTACTCTGTTCTTAGTTGCTCTCCTTATATCAAAGAAGACATTTGGCATTTGTTTTTTAGGGATTGGCTAGCTTCACTTAGCATAATCTGCTCTAGTGCCATCCATTTCCCTGCAAATGCCATGATTTTGTCATTTTTTAGTGCTGAGTAATACTCCATTGTGTATAAATGCCACATTTTTTTTTTATCCATTCAACTATTGAAGGGCATCTAGGTTGGTTCCACAGTCTAGCTATTGTGAATTGTGCTGTTATGAACATCGATGTAGCAGTATCCCTATAGTACACTCTTTTAAGGTCTTTAAGGAATAGTCCGAGAAGGGCACTAGCTGGGTCAAATGGTGGTTCCATTCCCAGCTTTCCAAGGAATCTCCATACTGCTTTCCAAATTGGCCTCACCAATTTGCAGTCCCACCAGCAATGTACAAGTGTGCCCTTTTCCCCACATCCTCGCCAGCACTTGTTGTTGTTTGACTTCATAATGGCTGCCAATCTTACTGGAGTGAGATGGAATCTTAAGGTGGTTTTGATTTGCATTTCTCTGACTGCTAGAGATGGTGAGCATTTTTTCATGTACTTTTTGATTGTTTGTATGTCCTCCTCTGAGAAGTGTCTGTTTAGGTCCTTGGCCCATTTATTGATTGGGTTATTTGTTTTCTTATCTTCCCCTACAATTGGCATAAAGTTATTAATTCAATTTATCTTGAATTTAAATTTCTATATTTATATTGCCAGTTATTTTTCTGCTATTAGTGCCATTTGTATATTGTCTATTTTTTCTTTCACTACTTTACCAGCAATGAGAACATTTTTGTAATTTTTCCAAGGAACCAGCATTTTATTTTATTTATATATTTAATTTCTATTTCATTTTTTCTTATTGTTTTCTTCCTTCTATTTTACTTGGTTATGCTATTTTCTTTTTAACTTTTTGGGTTGGATTTGGAAAACTAATTTTTAGACATTTTTTTCTTCTGTTTAAGATACATATGTTTATATATGATATGTATATAATTCTAAGAATCCTTTCAACTCCAAAGAACTCATTTTGAAATAAAATTTTTTTCCTTATACAATTGTTATTATAGATCCTGCTTCATTGCAAAAAATTTACTTAACTGTGGCCTTTGTTTCCAAATACAGGTATTATGGTACAAGCTTGGTTATATACTCTGTTGAATCAGCGTATATTTTTTCACTTTGGAGATTTTATTTTATATTTGCTTTTCCTTTCTTTCTTCCTTCCTGTTTTTTTTTTGGTAAGCATATTTTCAATATAGTAACTACTATTAATAAGTATAAAAATC